CCTTGGGAAGATGATTTCCAAACTTACCTTCACTTAGACTATAAAGATTCTTCCTCTTATAGCTTTTATAAAAGAGAAAATTAAAATGAAGAGGAGTAGGAAGAACACAAGGAATGATGAAGAAAAAGAGGAGCCTGTATGTTTACATCATCCTCTTTTAATGAAAATAAGCTTTCAAAATAGTTTAGGGGTTAATTGCTCTCATATACCTCATTTTTCATACATAGCTTAAAAACACCCCTTTTATGCGTTAATGGGCTAAAGTCTAAACTTGAACAACCCAAACTTAAGTCAACATGTCTTAATGGATTCACGGCCTATAGAGAATTCACTCGAGTTTACCCAAAACTACCAACCCAAAAATTGGGCATTACATTGTTGCAAGGAGCATTACATTTAACAAAACGTTTCTAAAATCCCAAATTTTTATCTTACACCCACACGGTTTTCGATAAAAGTCCCCAGCCAAAACCACCTTCAAAACCATTCGTTCATAAATCTTTTTCAAGACCAAAATTTATTTTTAACTCTTCTTAAAGTACTCTTGAACATCCTTTAAACATCATTTTTGGTTTAAGCACACATTTTCTTCAAATATTTCAAAAATGCCAAAAATATAAACCATGGCTTCAATGGGGCAATCCACAAGCAACACTCATATATGTTCTTAGGTTGACCAATGTTTTAAATCCATCAAAGCTTGTGAGAGTTTTGAATCATTTTTTTAATACAAATTAAATAAACATGAAAATTTTATTTTAATTTTTTAGAAAATTTAGATTTTCCTTACGAGAAAAATTTAAAAGACAAAAAAGATTTTAACTTTTCTTAACTTTCATGGCCCTACTTACCCTACTTTTATTCGAGCTTTTTACTCGAATGCTTTGTGTCATCTGCTTCTTATGATGGTACTACTTATCAGGCCATTGCTTATTACCTTATTGGTTATACCGTCACCATTTCGTTGACTTAATCGACCAAACCTTTGGCCTTCTTATTACCGTCGATGATAATAAAAAAGGCCATTTTCCTCCTGGTATGTGCATTTTAAATAATAGATCCACCCTTTTCTCCATTCATGATCATTTATTTCATCTTATCATTACTCATTGCTTTTGTGCTCAAGGAACAAAATTTTGCACCGTTTGCTAAAGCAACAATTAGTGGATGTTTTGCATCCAAAAAGTCACAAGCTTCACCTTGCTAGCGTGAGCTTCAACAATATCATGAGTGTCATCAGATCGAAGGCTTGATTGAACCTTGCCTATGGAATTTATCTCATTTACTTTTTTTAGATTCTCAATATCAACACATCTTACGAGCTCGTCTTATCCTTTCTGATGATAGGATCATTGGTCGCGACACTATGGAAAAAATCGACAACATAAAAGAGCCTGAGGGATCCATGCATTGGGTTAATAGTCACTAAGGAGAGCATATAGATGATGACCACGATGGAGATGAGAATATGGATGATGCACATAATGACGACGTTAGCGATGAGCCCAAGAGAGCAGCTAATATAGACTGACACCTCCCATAAATTTCTTTTGAGACTTTGAAGAGAGGATACGTTAGCCTATCTGTTCTCTCTAAGCCCGTGTTGACTCCCTCTTCCTTCATTTTCTTTAAGTAGTCATAGCTCAAAGGTAAGGTCTTGAACCTTTTTATTGTTTCATTTATGTTCATTATCCCCTCGAAACATCGTTTTAAAAAACCAAACTCTTGGTTTATTTATAGCTAAAGAAAAGTGGGGGTTTTCATCCAAATCACTAAGGAGAAGAGTGTGGTTAAGCATTGAGCTCAATTTTGAGATTCAAACATCAAATTAGTGTATTTCTAATCCTCTAGAGTATTAAGATTTCACAAATTTGTAGACTTTGTTAATATTTGGTGATTTGAGTATTTTAGGGTTATCTTTGATTTCTCAAACAAATCACATCTTACGTGTTCATAATATATTTTTATGATGTCATATAACCCTAAACAATTTACTAAAGCTTTATAATAAGTTTAGAAACAAAACTAGATCATTTGAGATGATTTTTGAGTTATTTTTAACCTAAATAAAATATTTTAGGGTTCGAGTATCGATACTCTCAGTATCGATACTGGTTAAATTGAGGCTAAAATTAGGGATTTCATAAGGGAGTATTGATACTGCCATACTCAGGGTGATGGTATCGATACTGAGTCCCTTTTTCGCAATATAATGTATTTTTTGTACCGATACACAAAGGAGTATTGATACTTTATCTTAGGGTATCGTTATTATTCACTTTTGATGGTTAGATTTGACTCATTTAATACTTAGTCCGTGGGGAACATAAATGACTAAGTGATCGCTTGTGAATGTATATGGTAAGGCAAACTAATCTGTGCAATTATACACAATCGATGCAAGTAATATAGTAGTGAGTGAGTATCGTCTCTACAGGGATTGGATTAGAAATATCTTTTCACCACAATTAGATCTAATGATTCAATGATTTCAGACAAGTGTGGTCGAGACAAAGAAAATATGCAGACATATAAAACAAAACAAAACAAGTATTGGATTAAATATAATGCAAACAACCTCACATATTCAGACGTGTCAAAGATCACTAATGATATACCATTGTCTCGGTAACAATTATTTTAAGCCCAGAATGAATTATTATGACTCATTAAACTGCCCGATAGGATTATTAGGTATTCTTAGACGGTTGCTATAGCAATACCTCTTGGCGTTAACTATAGACGTTGTCTTAACCTACTCTAGCCTTTATCCTTTTTAGTCGTTTGAAACTCACTCCTTATCTCTAAGGTAGACAAGTTAGAACTTCACCATCCTGGATTCATTCCTTTGCTCATGTTGATATCTCTTAATTCTCTCAAAATCAAGAAACACTTTCTAGACAAAAGGTTATCTCTCAATGCTCTTACAATACCAGACATGTTTTACCAAAACCTCAGGTGATCTCTTGATGCTCTTACAGTGTTAAGGCAAAATATTTAAACTATGAGCAAAACAGTCATAAGCAAACATAATTCATCATTCTTAAAAATAAAATATTGTTCAGGGAAAACAAAGTTTAACACCAAGTAAAGCAGTCATGGTGTTATCAAAGATCATCCAAGTTTAAACCGTTTAATATAACCCCAAATAAAATAAGAGTTTAAGAACAAAGGAAGAACGAATCCCAAAATCGGGGGCTCTGTCGTGATAATTCTGATCAACACCATGCTCTGCTATCGTCTGGCTATAGAGGACACCAAGGAAGACTTGGGGTAGATGGAGGGAAAGCACTGCAGTTGCTTGCTCATGCCTAAGGTAAAGTTATTCTTTCTTCTTCCTTGCCTATTTCTTTTTGCGGCTACGGCTGGTAATTATAAGGAGAATCTCCTAGGGCTTTTCATGCTTTTGGAGTTTCCTTAATTAGCCGTTATTAATTTCCCAAACATAAAAAGGAAAGGTGGCTGGCGGTTGTCAGGATACTCAAGGCTTGCTTACACGTGAAGCAGGTCATCCAGTTGGCATGTGACATAGGCGGTTTCGCCACATTTGCTTCAGACTTCTTCAGATAAATCTTACCTCGGTGAGATTAAACTGCTCCTCACTTTCTCATATGCTCCATTGGACTTTGCAACTTTTCATTGTCACGGCTGAAATGTTTTTCCTCTGCAGAATTCTTGCACAAACACAACTCAAACAACCCCTTCTCCTCAGCAGCATCAGTTAAGCCAAATAAATCTTGCCTAGGCAAAACTTATCCACCACAACCTAAATGTAACTAAAAATGCAGTGCATACTTTTTTTAGACGAGCAATAACTTAAGTGAAAAGACTAGAATTTAAGTCTTTTTAGGGAGTTATCACACCCCAAACTTAAGTTGTTGCTTATCCTCAAGCAATGGATAATAGCTAGAATAAAATCAAAATTATTATGGCAAAGCAATATCAAGAACATCATCAGGTTTGAGATTTCAACCCTCAGCAAAAATATGTGGCCTCAACATGTTCGACAGTCATATTAGTCAAGTCCCTTCCCTAGTCAGGATCCTTCGCTATTGTGTGTGCGTGATTATAACCAGTCTATGCATAGAGGTAATTAGAAAACTAAAGTAAGCACTTATAGGTTGTCAAGGCAACAAATTATTCATCAGGCTTAGTTTATACTCCTAGTTATTTATCAACTTTTATTATATTTATACACATTTTTTTATAAATGAGTCAGCTCATCACAGCTACCGTTCCACACTCTAGGTGAAAGGGAGCATACCTTCCACCCCCAATCTAGTCGGGCAGAGTCATCTTGTGACTACTTTCATTCACTCATATGCCTTGGCTACTCTTAATTTCTTTTGGAGTTTTTATTATTCATGCCTTTACACAGAGGAGTGTCCCTCTGTATTTTTTGAGTTTTCAAGTTTTTAAACACTATATAGTTTTTACCTTAACCTTAGAATATTTTTGAAGTCTCAGCAATTAGAAAGTTATTTCCTAAAAATTTTACAGATTACTTAGAGCAAAGGCAACGTACAATTGTGTTTATGAGTTTCAAAGGATCAAGCCTAGGGTTGGTTCTCTTCTTCATATACTCTTTACAATAATTCTGTCCTAGGCAATAAAATTTTGCATTCATCATTGGGCATCCCTTATTCATTCCGAACAATAATCCTAACCTGCTTATGTCATGACAACCAAAATTTTCAACCAATTAATCATCAATTAGTATTTAACAAAGTATGGCAAAATGGACAACACCTCCCCCAAACTTGAGGGATGCATTGTCCTCAATGCATGAAAATTACACTAAATGTTGTTATATGAAAATGAAAAAAAAAAAAAACTACAAAAACTCATTGTGGTGGTGTGGTTTGACTGGACGCCCTCGTGCGACATTGTTTGGGTGGGGAAGGGCTCTCGGATCCCGAGGCTACTACTTATGGTTGAGAAGGAGACGGTTGAAGTATACGCCCCACCGTTCTCTTGTATCGCTTCCTACTGGCCGAAGCTCAGGCTGGAGTGGACTGCTCGATCACGGGAGTCGGTTGTGCTGGAATTGGTGGTGAACTAGGAGTTGCTGTTAGGGCTGGTGGTGTTGATCGAACTGGGGATGGAATAGGATCCTGCTCAGGCTGCTTCGGTGCTGGCATGAAATCTTCATCAGTGAAAAGTGGGGTGGAGTATCACTGCTTCTTTCGGTGGTGGAGAAGGATTAGGAACTGAGGAACTTTTCGGTGTCACCGTAGCTTTCTTCTGGTACGGGTGGGACATGGGTTGCCAATGGTGATACATCGGTGGGCACCTCTGGTGAAACGTTTGGAGGGATATAAGATGTCAATGCATGGAATGTCCTGGCGCCCGCATTATAGTTGAGGATGACACTGGGGAAAGTTGGAAGTCTGATCATTATGGTTGAGAGTAACTCCTTGATGAAGGCATTGAGTTGCATGTCCCTTGCTTTGGCTCATTCAAATTAAATTTTCATGTGGTCCACCAGGCGCCCGATCTTTTCACACATCTAACTTGTGTGTGTGACCAAAACGACCATTCTAACTGTGGCAACCGATTTTTCTTCTCGCTCCAGACACTCCTTTGGGTCGCCATCATTGAAGCTCATCAACTCGGGGTAAATTTTCTTTACAATACCCTCCTTGGGTTTGATGAAGTATTCGAATGGTTCCTCGTGAACCTTTTTCTTTCTGCACAATGCGGTTATAAGGTTTAGGAACAGTAGGTTACCATGATTCTTCTTGGCACAATCATGTATCTGCTAAAAGATGATTTCACCCACATCGATCATCCTACCGTATATAATCGAGTATAACAACATCAGTCGCTTGACGAGGATAGTGGTGTTGTGGGACGTTGCCATCAGCTTTCCTTTAAGAAAATGGTTCCATAGTTTCACGCGTGGTTTGAGGGCTCAGTGATCTACTTACTTTATTATGGGGGCATTCCCTTCGAACTTGGCCCAACCAAAACATAAATCCTGTATAACTCCACTATACGTTTCTTGATCTACCTCGGCGATAAATCTCTTGTGCTGGTCATCCACTTTCCCCAACTTAAAGTATTTGTTAAGTGAGAATGGGAAAAGCGAATGAGTTTTCCTCAAACATATAACATGTGGTTAGGGGTGTCTGTGAGGTGGGCATAGAACTCCCTCAATATTGTTGGTGCTACGGCGTTAGGATTACGAGCAAATTTCTCCCAGTTATGTTTTTTTATGACGTCCATCACCTAATGGCCAAACTGCTCTTCTCCCTCAGCTGGAAAAATGAATCCATCTTCCAAATAGACTTGGCATTACTGAATGGTTTTGAAGTGTGCCTCTGCTTCGGTTGTTTGGAAACGTTCGAAACTCTGTGTGGGGGCTGGGGCCGGTCTCAATCTCACCATTTTTCTTGGCTGGTTTTAGTGGTGGCGATGGGGACGCATTTTGAGAGAAATAAAATAAATTTTCTGGTTTGTAAAGAAAGAATGAAACACGATAAAGAATATGAAGAGTGGGTAGTTTTTCTTAGAAAGTGATGGGTGGTTTCGGAGCATTTTGGTCTTTACACGGTGGGGAAAAGATTTCTCATTAAATGAGAAATATTTGATCAGACATAAAGGGGAATAAAGGATTGCTTTCCCTCTTTATTCTGTCGCCAAATCACGTACCCTAGGGCTTCTTTTTTTCATGCATGCTTCAACTCCCCATGCTGCCACGTGTTCCTTGCTTGCATACAATATGAAAGAATAAAAGAATAAAATAAAATGGATTAAAGCATAAAATAACTTAACTTATTTATGTACAAAATTCAGATTTTCGCTGCCTAGGAAACTAATATTTACTCAATTAAAAAAGGAAAACTCTTGGGTATCATGTGCCAACGATGTCGGTTTGTCGCACATGACTGGGGCTCCTTTGTACTCCTTGAGTCTCTGCCCGTTCACTTTGAAGATCGAACCATCGTTTTGGTTCTGAATTTCAATTGCTCCATTCTCATGGACTTGGTGTACGATGAATGGTCCTGACCATCGTGTTTTTAGCTTGCCTAGGAATAACTTAAGGTGTGAATTGTAGAGCAGTACTTGTTGTCCAGAATAAAATTACCTAGGCAATATTTTTCTGTCATGCCATCATTTTGTTTTCTCATTGTAAAGGCGGGCATTCTCGTATGCATGTGCTCTAAATTCATCCATCCCGTTCAGTTCCAATAGTCTTCTTTCTCTAGCAAGATAAGCATCCATGATTATCTTTTTAATGGCCCAATAAGCTTTGTATTCGACTTCAACCGGTAGATGACATTCTTTTCCATAGACTAGCTTGAACAGGGACATTCCCAACGGTGTATTGAATGTTGTGTGATAAGCCCATAGTGCTTCATCTAGCTTCGGCGACCAATCTTTTCGACTTGGGTTGACCACTTTTTTTAGAATCTCCTTGATTTCCTGGTTAGATACTATGGCTTGTCCATTCGTCTGAGGGTGATATGCCATAGCAATTCTATTTCGTACTCCATATCTTTTCAATGCCTTGGCTATCAATTTATTGTAAAAATGTTTCCCTATATCGCTAATGAGAGCTCGTGGAGGTCCAAAGCGGGTGAATATAATTTTGTGCAAAAACTTCAACACCGTATTGGAATCGTTCTTAGGTGTTACAATGGCTTCAACCTATTTTGATACGTAATCCATTGGCAAGAGAATGTATATATCTCCGAATGATGTTGGAAAAGGTCTCATGAAATCTATGCCCCATACGTCAAAAAGTTCGATCTCTAGAATGTTTTGCCATGGTATCTCATGCCATTCCGAGATGTTTCCAGTACGTTGACATCTATCACATGACTTGTAGAATTCATGAGTGTCTTTGAATAGGGTTGGCTAATAAAATCCCGACTGAAGCACTTTTGTTGCTGTTCTCATCCCACCAAAATGCCCTCCATATGGTGATGAGTGGCATTGGAGTAGGATATCTTGTTTCTCTTCTTCTGGAATGCACATTTGGATTATTTGGTCTCCGCACTGCTTGAATAGAAATGGTTCGTCCCATTAGTAATGTTGCACATCATGTCGAAATTTCCATTTGCCCTGGCTAGATAAATCAAGAGGAACAATACCACTAACAAGAAAATTAACAATGTGAGCATACCACGGTGCAGCCATGACAAATAATATTTTCTCATCAGGGAAATCCACTTTAATAACTGTGATGTCAGGACAATCAGGTTTGTTATCTAGCCTAGACAAATGGTCCGCCACTTGATTTTCTATACCTTTTCTATCCTTGATCTCTAAATCAAATTCTTGTAGTAATAATATCCACCAAATTAGTCTAGGCTTTGCATCTTTTTTATTAATAAGATATTTAATAGTTGAGTGATCTGTGTGTACAATTACCTTAATGCCTATTAGATATGTCCTAAACTTATAGAATGCAAATACTATTGCTAAGAGTTCCTTTTCAGTGGTGGTATAGTTCACTTGAGCATCATTAAGTGTTCGGCTTGCATAGTAGATAACGTGAAAAATTTAACTTTTTATTTCCCTAGCACTGCTCCGACTGCGAAGTCATTAGTGTCGCACATAAGCTCAAATGGTTCGTTCCAGTCTGGTGGGATAACCATTGGCGCTGCTGAAAGCTTTTTCTTCAAATCTTTGAAGGCATTCAAACAATCATTAGTAAACTCAAATGGATGATTTTGTTGAAGCAAAAGACATAAGGGTTTAGGGAATTGAAAAAAGTATTTTATGAACCGCATATAGAATCTTGCATGTCCAAGAAACTGTGTACACCATGCACATTAGTAGGTGGGGGAAGATTTGCAATTGCATCCACCTTGGCTTTGTCGAATTCAATGCCAAGGCATGAAATTTTGTGTCCCAACACTATTCCTTCAGTTACCATAAAATGGCATTTTTCTCAATTTAGTACTAGGTTGGCTTCTTCACAACGTCTCAATAACTTGAATAAATTGTTGAGGTATCGGTCAAAGTCATCACCCGAAATGGAGAAGTTGCCCATAAATATTTCCATGCACTCTTCCACCATATCTGAAAAGATTGCCATCATGCATCGTTGGAATGTAGTTGGAGTGTTACATAGTCCAAACGACATTCACCTAAATGCATAGGTACCATACGAGCATGTGAACGTTATTTTCTCTTGGTCTTTGGGTGCTATGGAAATTTGGTTATACCTTGATTAACCATTGAAAAAGCAATAAAATACCTTTCCCGCTAATCTATCCAACATTTGATCGGTGAAAGAGAGGGGAAAATGATCATTCTTTGTGCCTTTGTTGAGTTTCCTATAATCCATGCATATGCATCATCCCGTGAATGTTCTCATAGTGAGTAACTCATCATGCTCGCTTTTAACCACGGTTACACCACCTTTGTTTGGAACACATTGGACTGGGCTAACCCATGAACTATCGGCTATAGGATAAATCACTCCCGCATCTAGCCATTTTATTATTTCCTTCATGACTACCTTCTTCATGATCGGGTTGAGCCGTCTTTGGGATTCCACTGAGGTGTTGTGGCTATCTTCAAGATTGATTTTGTGCATGCATATGGTTGGATTGTTTCCTTTCAAGTATACCATCATCCATCCTATAGCTTTTTTGTGCTGTGACAAAACATTTAACAAATTCCTCTCCTGTTAGGAGGTTAGGTTGGCAGAGATTATCACTGGTAAAATTTCATCAACTAATAGATAGGCATATTTCAAATGTGATGGTAAAGTCTTAAGCTCCAATTTCGGTGAAAGTTGTGAAGATGACTCTTGATATTTAACTTCATCATAATCTAAAGGTTTGAATTTCATACCTAACCTATGAAGAAATCTCAATTGGTCCTTTGTCTTTCCTTCGTATCTTGCCTTGGTATCGCTTTCAGGGTGTTCAATGTGCAGATTTTCGTTGTCGTAGTCATGATTGTCAGAATGTTCTTCTAAAAATATTTCGTCAGGGCTAAAGTTTTCTGCTTCATGTATTTCAGTTGTTGGTTCATGGTACAAATTGTTGTACTCATCGAGCCTTAGGGATTCACCTCGTCCCATTATTTCATTTTCTTCAATCTTATTAATGCATTGGCATTCCTCTGGATGATATGTGTATTTCATGGAGTTGAATACATTGATCATGACACTTTGCTCACCAACTCTCATGGTGAATTCTCCCTTTTCACAGTCTATTAGGATTCTGCATGTCGCTAAGAATGGGCGTCCCAGAATGATTGGTGCATTTTCATCAGCTTCGCAATCCATAATGAGAAAATCCATGGGAAATACGAATTTATCTACCTTTACTATGATATCTTCAATTCTGCCATCGGGTCGCACATAAGACCGACTAGCCAACTGTAGAATGATTGAGGTGGGATGAGCATGATACCCGTGTAGTTTCATGAATATCAATATTGGTATCAAGTTTACACTTGATCCCAAGTCAATGA